TGTCAATATTTTCCCAAATGAGGTGCTGTGCAGGGAAAGGCTGGGCACAGAGTCTCTGAGATTCACGGACAGATATTCACACTCATGAAACGAATCTAACGAACGAACGAACGGATTGTTTCCTGCAAAAGCCCTCTCCCCTTTTGCTCCTCTTTTATTTCCTATGGGAGGGGTCAATCACCTTCCACCTGTGACTTTACTCCCGAGTTCACCCTGATTTCTGAGTTGTTCTTTTCTTCTGGCAACTCTGCGCATGCACACATTGGGAATAGGCTCCAGCTGTTCCTCTGCCTCACTGCTCTCTAGCTCTGAAGGCACCTGATCACTGCCAGACGGCCTTGGTCCCGTCTCTGCTTCCAACACAGAGCCATCATCATAGCCTTCCTGTTGTGGTCTGCCAGCCGTCTGCAGAGCTGACAGCAGAGTCGGACAGTGAGGAGGTTGGAGAGGAACATGAGCCAGTCCTGGAGTCTGGGAAAAGCTCGGACGAGGGCTCTGCGTTGGAGCCAGAGAGGGGGCCAGGGCCATCTGGGAGTTATGTGCTGCCTCCGGAGCCTCCAGAGACAGACATCAGCGAGGAAGAGGAAGGGAAACAGGGGGGAGTCTGTTCTCAGTGCTTGCATGTGCAGAGCTGCCAGAAGGCAAGAACAGTTAAGACAAAAGGGGCGATTCGGGAGTAAGGCTTGGAGATGATTGGCCCCTCCTGTAAGACATAAAGGAGGAGCAAAGGCACCTGAGCCTTTGCAGGAAGCAACTTTATTCATTCTGGTCGGTTTAAACTCTGAAGCTCCGTTTTGACTCTGGCTTTGCAAAGCTAATTGGCAATTACCATATTTTTCGGAGTATAAAATGCACCCAAGTTTTGAAGAGGCGAATTTTTAAAAAAAGTAGGTAGGTAGATAAGAGGGATAGAAAGGGAGAGAAAGAGAGAGAAATACAGTAGGTNAAAGCCCCCCACCAGGAGGCCGAAGCAGACCCTAAGTCGGAATTTCTGCCCCCCTCCGACCCGCACAAAAAGACCCCGAAGGGGGAGACTCTCTGCAGCAACACAAACATTCATTCCACACATCCGGCCCAAGGGCCACAGCTTGAGGACCCCTGATTTAGTGCAATATAAAAAATGCAAATAATTTTTCTGCGGACCACCAAAATTTTCTCGCGGGCCACCAGTCGGTGGTGACTGCTGGCTTAAAAGTCAATTGAAGTTAGCCACACTGCACACCAGGCCATGCTGTGAATCCTTTTGGGGGGTGGGGGGGAATCCAGTTGGATCTGTACCTCTCTCTGCAGAGAAGCTACGGGCCATGGCCACCTCCCCGGCCCAGGAGAGAGATCGCTTCCTTTCCGGTCCCGAGACCCCTCTGCTCGGCTCTCCATCCGCAGCTACAATGAAGGAAGGACCACCAAGCTTAATTCTTTCGCTCATGAATTCACATTTGTTCTCTTGGAGAAAGCATCTTGGCAGGATCCGGCTTTTGCTTCCAACCCTGAAAAGCTGAGTTGTGGGGGGGGGGGGAGGGCGCTTTCTCTAGCTCAGGAAAAGCCTCCCCCCACCCCCACCCCGAAAAAAGCCTTGCATTTATATAACTGTGCAAACAGATAAAAGAAACTTCAAGGGGGATGTTAAGTTCAGCTGGTTCTTAGTACTTTTTTTTCCCCCTGGGTAAGCAGTTTTGTAGTCGTTCTAGCAAAGTTTTGCAACGGTGCCACCCCAAAACAAGGAAGTGGCTAAGAAATTTATGCTGGGAATGAACTTTTTGAGGGCTGATGGAAGGAGACTCACCCGCTCCGTGTGTGTGTGTGCGTGTGTGCGTGTGTGTGTGTGTGTGTGTGTAAGAAAGAGAAAAGGCTGAAGCTGTGTCCCGCAGCAGCTCACACCCTCATTCTTTGCAACTTTCTTCCATTCCAGAAGCAAACCTAGTTCGCAGCAAATGTTTAAAGAGGGACAGCACAATTTAAAAAAAACAACAAAACCCAAAACACTTAAAAATAAATAAATAAATTCAGGCACCGTCTGGGTTTAATGTACCGGGAGAAAGATTCGGTCACTTGCACGGAAAATAATGTTGTCAAAGAGACTGGGAGTTTAAAAGTTTTTGAAAATGCCAAGAAAGTTAGGAGAGGGAAGAGAAAAGAGAAGGGAAGGAAACGGAAGAGAAAGGAAGAGGAGGGAGGAGAAGGGACGGGAAAGGAAGAGGAGGGAGGAGAAGGGAAAGGAAGAGGAGAGAAGAGAAAGGAAGAGGAGGGAAGAGAAGAGACGAAATAAAGAAAGAGAATGAGAAAGAAAGATAAAAAGGAGTAAAAGGAGAAAAAGGAGAAAAAGAGAAAGGAAGGAAGGAAGGAAGGAAAGAAAGAAAGAAGGAAGGAAGGAAAGAAGGAAAGAAGAAAAAGTCTTCTCTCATCTCAGTCTTTATCAGAATTAGAAACATCATTAAAAGAAGTTATTCTGAGGAAAATATCTATTGGAACTAAAGAGATACCCAGAAATAGTATAAAGAAAAGAGGTAGCTATTAAACTCAAAAAAGAAAGTGTAAAACAGATAGGAGGAGGGAAAATAATACCACAATGTCACTTCCAATTGACTTCCTGCAGTCTCTCCAAACAAAGGGGGGTTTTCTGTGTTTCTTAATCAAGCCAGGATCACTCACTGGCCATGCTCAATTCATCAAACCGACTACTCACTTCGACTTTGCAAAGGTGAGTCTCAGTTCCTCAGCTTTCCAGGCAACAAAGAAAAATAAAAATTCACTCCCTGTCCCTGTCTTTGCATCTGGCTCAGGGGTCGGCAACCTTAAACACTCAAAGAGCCACAAAGATCCTAACCGGAAGCCCCCCGTTCAATTCTGGAGCGCATCAGAAATCCGGTTCCCCCACCATAGAGTCTTGTCCTAGCCTGGTGTCCTTTTTCCTCTACCTGTCCTAACCAAAAGCCCCATCAATTTCTGGAGCCGACCGTCGAAAGGGGGCCGCAGCAGAGGGATGAAAGAGCCACATGAGGCTCCAGAGCCGCAGTTGGCTGACCCCCTGAACTGGCTGACTGAATGCATAAGGACATGAATTCTACAAAATTTTGCCCAGAAATTCAGAAAACGGATACCCTCAAGTCACTTTCCTACCAATTCTCTCTTATCTTTTAAGACAGGCATCTCCAACCATGGCAACTTGGGGACTTCAACTCCCAGAATTCCCTAACCACCAAGTTCTTAAAAGTTGCCAAGCTTGGAGGGCCCTCCAGAATACCTATAAGGTAAAGGTTCCCCTCGCACATGTATGTGCTAGTCATTTCCGACTCTAGGGGGCGGTGCTCATTCTCCGTGTCAAAGCCGAAGAGCCAGCATTGTCAGAAGACGTCTCTCTGGTCATGTGGCCAGCATGACTCAGCGCCAAAGGCGCACGGAACTCTGTGACCTTCCTACCAAAGGGGGTCCCTATTTTTCTACTTGCATTTTTGTATGTGCTTTCGAACTGCTAGGTTGGCAGAAGCTGGGACAAGTTAATGGAGGCTCACTCTGCGATGTGGTGCTAGGGATTCGAACCGTCGAACTGCCGACCTTTCTGATCGCCAAGCACAGCAGCTTAGCCACTGAGCCACCACAAATACCTATGCTCTTCTGGTTGTTGTTTTTTTTTTAAGACAGCTGATTTTATGGCATCAAAAGTCTCCATTAGCAACCCAATGGCAGAGAAAAATCCAAAAACATTTTCGGTTTCAAGTTTCCACCCTCCTCTTTTTCCCATCAATCACAGGAATTTGACTAATGCTAGAATAAAGGAAGTGACGGAGGAAACAGAAACTGGGTTTTTGTCTGATGACGAAGCGGAGGAATTTTCTGAAACAACCCGAAACCAAAAGAAGCCCAGGGATATTCCATCCAAAATCCTAATTTTTAGAAGGCAGACCATCCGTCAATGCAATTGGGCCATTTTAAGTAGCTTCACCCTTAATGCTTCCCATAATTTGGATTTTACGTTTCCTACAGCTTTGCTGTTTACCTTTTCAAGGTGCTGTTAAACGATACCAAAAAAAAGGTAATAAAGTATTTGTCCCAAGTACATGCAGTCCTCAACTTACGACCATAACGAAGTCAAAATTTCTGTTGCTGAGGGAGACATCAGTGAAATTAATTTTGCCCCATTTTATGACCATTCTTGCCACAGTTGTTCAGTGAATCACTGCAGTGGTTAAGAAGTAACATGGTTGTTAAGTGGATCGGGCTTTCCCCATTGACTTTGCTGGTCAGAAGGTCGCAAAAAGGGATCGCGTGACACAGCAACCGTCATAAAGACGAGTCAGTCGCCAAGCGGGCGATTTTCGATCACGTGACGACGGGGAAGCTGCAACGGTCGTAAGTGTGAAAAACAGCCACTTTTTTCCAGCGGCGTTGTGACTTTGAACCGTCACAAAATGAACGGTTGTTAAGTCGAGAACTACCGTATTTTTTGGAGTATAAGATGCACCTTTTTCCCTCAAAAAAGAGGCTGAGAATCTGGGTGCGTCTTATACACTGAATACAGCATTTTTGGCCTCCCGAAACCCCGCCCCCTTCACCAAAATGGCCGTGCAGAGCCTTTAGGAGGCTTTCAGAGTGCTCCTGGGGGCTGGGGAGGGAAGAAATGAGTGAAAAATGGGGCATTTTTTTGCCCCGCCCGCCTACCAGCCCCCAGGAGCACTCTATAAACTTCCTAAAACTATCCATGCCTTTTTTTTTTGACAAAAAACGGGATCGTTTTTTGCTCATCTTTGCCCCCACCCCCACCCCCCAGGAGCATTCTACAAGCCTCCTAATGGCTATTCATGCCCTTTTTTTGGGGAAAAAAAACGGGCCCTTTTTGAGAGCTTTGCAGAATGCAAAAACTTTTTTTTTTTAATTTTCCTCTTCAAAACCTTGGTGCGTCTTATACTCCGGTGCGTCTTATACTCCGGAAAATACGGGTAACTGATTCCCCACCCCCCTTGTTAAAGTCACCTGTGTGCACAACGTCAAATAAACCCAGTTACCTGGAATATCTTTCTTATGCAGGAAAGTCCGCATGACTGCAATTTTGGTCTTTTCCAAACCATCCTTGGTGCCGCTTTTGGCTGCTTTCATGAATTGGGTCATCTGCAGAAAAATCAGTTTTAAAAACAATTACAGAAGATGAAGCGGAGCTGTTGGACCTCCTGCCAAGGAAAATCCCTCTCACTGTTATTCCAATTCAGAA